AAATGATGACCCCCAGAATTAACTCTATGCTATCGCAGACCTACCTATGCAATCGCATAGAACAAATGATAACCCCCAGAATTAACTTTATGCTATCGCGGATCTACCTATGTAATCGCATTGAACAAATGATGACCCCTAGAATTAACTCTATGCTATTGCGGATCTACCTATGCAATCGCATAGAACAAATAATGACCCCCAGAATTAACTCTATGCTATCGCGGACCTACCTATGCAGTCGCATAAAACAAATGATGACCCCTAGAATTAACTATATGCTATCGCGGACCTACCTATGCGATCGCATAGAACAAAAACCTGGACACTAGCAAACAACAAAACACCAGATTTTCTAAGTTCGAATCACCCCGACGCCTATCCGAAACTCACCCGAGCCCTCGGGGCTCTAAGCCAAACATGAACGCAAGTGTAAAACATCATACAAACTTGTTTGTGCGTTCAAATCGCCAAAATAAAATCTTAAACAACGAATTTAGCATAGAAATCTAAGAAAAATCTCAAAACTTTCAAAGTATCAAATTTCACAACTACGGGTCCTTATAAGATCAAACGACTTCCGTTTCTTACCAAATTTCATAGACGCATCTTAAATGTCATATTGAACCTATACCGGGCTCCGAAACCAAAATATGGGCCCGATACCATAAATTTCAATTATAATCAAATTTCCAAAAACTCTTTCATTTTTATTAAAACAATTTCTTTCAAAAATTCATTTCTCGGGCTTGGGACCTCGGAATTCGATTCCTGGTATACGCCCAAGTCCCATATTTTTCTACGGACCCTCCGGGACTGTCAAATCACAGGTCCGGGTCCGTTTACCCAAAATGTTGACCGAAGTCAACTTAAATTTAATTTTAAAGGCCAAATTAACATTTTTATCATATTTCCACATAAAAGCGTTCCAGATATGCGCTCGGACTGAGCACGCAAATCGAGGTAAGGAAAAAAGAGACTTCTAAAGCCTCGAAACACAGAATTTACTCGTAAATCAAGTGATGACCCCACATCCTCCACCTCTAAAAGAATAGTTCGTCCTCGAACGGACATAAGAAGAAAGTACCTAAGTCAGGGAAAAGATGGGGATAACGGCTCCGCATATCGGACTCGGACTCCCAGGTCGATGCCTCAGCAGGCTGACCTCTCCACTGAACACGAATAGAAGGGAAACTCTTCGATCTCAACTGACGAACCTGCCGGTCTAGAATAGCTACCGACTCCTCCTCATATTGTCCAACTGGATAGTGCTGAAGTCTAACACATGGGATGGATCATCATGATACTTCTGAAGCATGGACACATGAAACACTGGATGCCCGGCTGATAAACTCAGCGTCAACGCAAGTTTGTAAGCCACATCTCCCACTCGATCAAGAATCTCAAATGGGCCAATGAACCTAGGGCAAGGCTTGCACTTCTTTCCAAATCTCATCACGCCCTTCATAGGCGTCACTCAAAGCAACACCCGCTCGCCAACCATGATGGCTACATCACGAACCTTACGGTCGGCATAACTCTTTTGCCTAGACTGAACTGTACGAAGCCTGTCCTGAATGATCCTAACCTTGTCCAAGGCATCCTATACTAGATCCATACCCAACAACCGAGCCTCTCCTGGCTTAAATCATCCAACCGGCGACCGACACTGCCTACCATACAAAGCCTCATAAGGAGCCATCTGGATACTCGACTGGTAACTGTTGTTGTAGGCTTAAACCAACCGCCTACCATACTGCCTCTATCTTTTTGGATCTACCTGAATACCCTCTACTGAAACAACATGACCCAAGAAAGCAACTGACCCCAACCAAAACTCGCACTTCGAAAACTTAGCATACAACTGACTATCTCTCAAAGTCTGAAGAACAACTCTCAGATGTTGCTCATGCTTTTCCCGGCTGCGGGAGTAAATCAAAATATCATCAAGAAGACTATTACAAATGAATCCAAGTAAGGCCCGAACACTTGGTTCAAAAAATCCATAAAAGCTGCTGGGGCATTTGTCAACCCAAATGACATCACCAAGAACTCATAATGCCCGTACCGAGTACGAAAAGCTATCTTAGGGACATCAGATGCCCTAATCCTCAACTGATGGTAGCCAGATCTCAAGTCAATCTTTGAAAATACCTTGGCACCCTGAAGCTAATCAAACAAATCATCAATCCTCGGCAATGGATATTTATTCTTGATTGTAACCTTGTTCAACTGCCGGTAATCTATACACATTCACATCGATGCGTTCTTCTTCTTAACAAACAACACCGACGCACCCCAAGGAGAGACACTAGGTCTAATGAAGCCTTTCTCAAGCAAGTCTTGCAATTCTCCTTCAACTCTTTCAACTCAGGCAGGGCCATATGATACGACTGGATAGAAATAGGTTGAGTGCCCGGAGCCAAATCAATGCAGAAGTCAATATCCCTATCGGGTGGAATACCCGACAAGTTTGAAGGAAATACCTCAGGAAACTCACAAATAACAGGCACAAAATCAATAGAAGGACCATCGACACTAGAATCACGAACATATGCCAAATAAGCCAAACACCCCTTCTCGACCATGCATCGAGCCTTCATATATGAGATAACACTACGGGTAGAATGACCAGGAGTCCCTGTCCACTCTAAATGAGGCAACCCCGGCAAGGCTAAGGTCACAGTCTTGGCATGACAGTCCAAGATCGCGTGGTAAGGTGATAACCAATCCATCCCCAGTATGACATAAAAATCAACCATGTCCAGAAGTAACAAGTCTACTCGGGTCTCAAGACCCCCAATCACAACTATACAAGAACAATGGACACGATCTACCACAATAGAATCACCCACCAGTGTAGACACATATAAAGGAGCACTCTAAGAATTACTAGAAATGATCAAATACGGTGCAAACTAAGATGATACATAGGAGTATGTAGACTCTGGATCAAATAACACTGAAGCATCCCTACTAAAAACTAGAACAGTACCTGTGATAATTGCATTAGAAGCCTCAGCCTCAGGCCTGACTGGAAGAGCATAACATCAAGGTTGGGCCCCACCACTCTGAACTACATCTCTAGGATGGCATGTTGCTGGTTGACCTCTACCTCTAGTAGCCTGAGCAGGCGGTGGAACACTCGGTGCTTGAACCATGGCACGGGAACCCTGGTGCTGAGAACTGCTTGGTGCTTGAGGGCAATATCTAGCAATGTGTCTCGTGTCTCCACAAGTAAAACAAGCACTTGGTTGATGAGGCTGATGACCCTAAAAACTCTAAAGCGGAGGTGCATTAATAGGAGCTGGTGATGCACTATAGGACTGTTGATCGGAATACTGTATCTGAGAACCATGGCCACTTGGGGCACCGAGAGAAGCCTGAAGTGCTTACTGAAAAGGCCTAGGAGGATGACCTCTACCAAAAGAATCCTTTCCTCCAGACGAGGCATCATTGAATCTGCATGAATGACGAGGCCTCTTGTTAGACCCCTGACCACCTCTCTGTGATAGAACCATCTCAACCCTCCTGGCCACATTGGCCACATCCTAAAAGAAAATCTCACTCCCCGTCTCCTTAGTCATCTGAAGTCGAATAGGCTGAATGAGTCCCTCAATGAACCTCCTCGCTCTCTCTCTCTCTCTCTCAGTGAGAAGTATAAGAAGAGCATGACGGGCCAAGTCAATAAATTTGGTCTCGTACTGAGTAACAGTCATAGAACCTTGCTGGAGACACTCAAAGTGCCTCCGATAGATCTCTCTTTGAGTGAGAGGAAGAAACTTCTCCAGAAACAGCTGAGAAAACTGATCCCAAGTCAAAGCTGGTGACCCAACTGGTCTAGCCAAACAATAATCTCTCCACCAAGTCTTGGCGGATCCAGATAAGCGAAAAATAGCAAAGTTGACCCCATTGGTCTCCACTATCCCCATGTTCCTGAGAACCTTATGACAGCTGTCTAAATAATCCTGGGGATCCTCAAAAGATGCACCGCTGAAAGTGGTAGTGAAGAGCTTGGTAAACATGTCCAATCTCCTCAAAGCCTCCGAAAATATAGCTGATCTATTATCGGTCTGTGCTGCTGCTCGACTGAAGAAGCTGTACGTGATCTCGCCATTCGCGACACTACAACAAAAAGGGGCTTTAGTGGCAATAAAAAGGGGCATTGGCGGCAATAACAATAGTCGCTATATCATTTACCGGCCATTGATGTTTAGCCGATGAAGCCAGGGTCGGCAAAGCCTTTAGCGACATTTCTCACAAAAACTGGTAAAAGGCCTGATTTATTGCCGTTAAATATCATTTGCTTTAACGACAATTGTTTGTGGCAACTATGTTGGCTTCTAAATCTAATCTAAAATGGCTATTGATGCTCTTTTAGCATCTATTTTTATAGCCGCCAAATTCAAAATAGTTGCCACTAAAAGTACATACTTTTAGCGGTAATTGATTTGTGGCAATTAGAATGGCTATAATATTCCTTTTGAAAAGGTATTAGTATGACCCTTTAGCATCCATTTTAATGGTTGATAAATTCAATAAAATTGCCGCTAAAACTCATCTTTAACAACAATTATAATGGCGACAACATTCCCTATGAAAGCACCATAATTTGCCCTTTTATCGTCAATTTTTATAACCGGTATATCATGTTAAATTGGCATTAAAAGCCACAAGCTATAATGACAATAGTTTCGCCACCGTTAATAATAGCTACACACTCTTTCGAAATATGATCTAAATAATAAAACATATTAATATTGATTCATAAAAACATAATGTAGGTTATTAAATCTTAACAAACAAAAGGAAGTAGTAATCCAAAATATTAATATCATAGCAACTTAAAAAATAAACTTATATTCTTTGAAGCAAATAGCTAATGTTATTATATAACTAATCCTAACAAATAATAGACTTCAAATAATTTCTGCAACGCTTCATCATATTGAAATCTTCCGCCCGCTAAATTATGGATCATCAGACTGTATGAACTGAAATTACAAAATAATTATGTCGAGGAGATGAAATATAATAGTCTTCAACTGAGATATTTATCGAGCAAAAGTATAAAATTCATATATCATCGCATACATGTTTGATTTAGAATGGCAACGCTCGATATAATATGTAAGCTCAACTCTATGTGGGCAGCAGAATAGAAACAGTTATATTCTATGTTATAAACGTACCTAAAGAGCATTATAAATCCTTTAGTTTTGCCAGCATTTTTCCTTTACAATAATACTTTCTCGTGGTGAAAAAAACAGCACACTTTCTCATAATTAACAGAGGAGCTACACTAAAGTGCTTAACCATATAACAAACTCAAACTACAACAAAGATAAACAGTCGCCATATAGTTGAGGTTCTTAGCTTCACAATCACTAGTCTTTCAATGTTCTCAACTTCATAAGCAGAATTTGAAGGGATTTATCGGAATTTTATTGACCTTCTTAAGGCTCAAATTGTGTTGTTATTCTCACTAAAATAAGTTCAAACTCACTTCCCCTAGAGAATTGTTGAAGATCGTAAGCAATTTACATCTAAGCTTGGAGAATATGTATTGCTACTACTTCTTTTCATTTAATTTCTATTGATCTATATATAGAATCTCAAGTATAGTCTCCTTACTTTCTCAGTTTTTCCTAAGGTCGCCATCTTAATTTTACATTTCCTTCTTTTGTTTTCTTAAAAGGATCTTAATCGGGTAATTCCAGATCTTCAAAAAAGGCAGAAAAGCTTTCAAATGTTCTGGATGGTATTTCAACTAAATCATCTAATATGGACTATCAAGGACACTGTAAGCCCCTAGGTAAATTTATTTGGATTAACTTGTATACAATATGGACAATCCTACTACCATAAAGTTTAGAAAGAAAAAAAAATAGTAAGGACCTATGGATCTTGTTTTCATTTCTGCAAGTCTAGATGAACTTGCGGAAAAACACATTTGATGCAGCTTCTATCAATGTGGTGGCATTATAAGGCTATAGATATGGTTGCAAGCTTCATGTGGCAAAAGTACATAGAGAAAATTATAAAAAAATAGAAAAGTGAATCTAAAGGAATAACGATACTTCTGCTCTGAAGTCATTGGAAAATGAGATTTTGCATCCCACAATGAGACAATTTTCACGGTAAAGTATCAGAACTTTTTACCTAAAAAAAGGTATGCTAAACATGATTTGCAATACCTACCAAAACATGATAAAAAGGAAAGTGTGTTAGAGTTTTCAGCTGTTAACCATTTCACTTTTCCCTTTTATTTTTTGACAGAGGATCCTTTATAGATGAATAAATTCTGCAGCAGATTTGTCTAATTCATTTCTTATTTTCGAACTATTTTTCTTTCTAATATTTTCTCAAGCTGTTGTATTTTACTCTCCAGTATGTAGTGATATTTTGGTACTCTAATATTAATATAAAGCTGCCTGTTTATTAAGAAAAGTGAGCCAGACCCATGAGTTAAGAATTGATTCACAATTCTCCCAGGCCCCAAGAAATAAACAAAGAAAGCTTTGATTTCACAGTATGATACTCAACCTGCTGGTTTAACATTATATAAAGCAGTCATGACAATTGTTAAAAATACCAAATTACTGATAAAATGAGAAATACAGAAGCTTTAACATAACAAAAAAGGCATACATAAGGGACTCAAGATATTACCACATTTCTTCATGCAACCTCATTCTATGACAGAACACTACCTTAGAACTATAGCCTTTAAAACATCAAAGCAACATATGCAATGACTAACAAAAGAAAAGCAAGCAAATGCCTTAAGTATACAACTAATAAACTTGCCAGATATATAGAGGCCACCCACTTTATTTAATTCTGCAAACTCTAAAATTAATGTAATTTACTCACCCTTAAGAGTAAGTACTCTGAATGCTAAATGTGTCGCTTCCTATCGTGAACTCCCCTTGAAGAATTGCACTGAAATGCTTGATTATTTCCGCCAAGCTTGGTTGGGATTTAAAGTATTCCAGCACGTACAATTTTAGTAGGTGTATAATTACACAATGAAAATACCTAATCAGATCCTTCTTAATTGATGTAAAACTGCAATATTTTAAAAAACTGAAGCAAAAGTAAATTTATTTTAGAAGAGTCAAAATTAAGTATAATTAAGAGCTAGAGAGTCCAATTCAAAGTTCACAACAAAAAAAGTTATCGTGAGAATAGAGAAGTTATAAATGTAGGTATAGAATTTACCCATGACACAAATTTTATAGGCTCCAAGCTCCCCAAGGTTGATAGAATGCCTTATACTTCTGTACCGTCTCCTGTAAATACTGAACTACCTCCACACAAACTTCAAACTCACCAATAAATCTAAACTTCAAAGAAGAAAAGGATAAATAGTTTTCTTTCTAAAATGTACCTGCAATAAGAATGGCGTGGCATCTCCATTAAACAAGAACAGATGAATAATATCTTGAATTACCAAAGCATGATTAGATGAGTAGCTAAACTAATTATAAGTTTAATCATCTATTATATACTATTTATCATTGTATTTTATACATAACCGGATTTTCTTCTTCCAAGGGGCTCTCTAATGTGAAAAGCATTGGAGTCCATTCAGGTTATCCACCACTATGCCATCAGAAAACCCTGCAGAAGTTAAAAATCCTAATAAACCCAGTTTACAAAAAAAAAAAAATTACACAAAAAGAAAACGCTGGAGAAAGTCAACATTCCATTTTTGCCTAAAAAAGTTCCATGAGGTATCCCTAATCCACAACCCTTACTCCTTTTTTGAACTCAGGTAACTGAAGATTTTTCGCAAATTTTTCAATGTATACTAAGTTCTGCTCCAAAAACCTGTCAAGCTGAAATAAAAAAAAAGTAGTACTAATTGTTTACCTCAAATTGGAAATGGAGAAAAAACTTATTACTCCAAAAGGGATTCCACAAATAAGTCAAATTCAAGATCATCGCAATATTGAAATCGAATAGAAGAGAATACTGATAATTCAATAGGTTAAAATCCTATCAAGACAAAGATACCCAAACAGATGAAAGCCAAGAATCAAAAGATATATTTGCAATCCTTACTACGCTATCTTTACAGATGGATAGTATGGGAAAAAGATTACAACAACTAGAGAAAAGCCAGCCAAGTCAGTAGCATGACTATAAAGATGCGGAGCTAAGTCGATCGGAAGACTCAAAGTACAAGATTCAGTAACTACGAAGGAAATAAGAAGACTTGTATTAAATATACAGAATTTTACATTTACAATTGAAGTAATAAGAACTGACAAGAATGTTATTGCAGACTACCTATCAAGACAAAGGTATCCAAACAGATGAAAGCCAAGAATCAAAAGATATATTTGCAATCCTTACTACGCTATCTTTACAGATGGATAGTATGGGAAAAAGATTACAACAGCTAGAGAAAAGCCAGCCAAGTCAGTAGCATGACTATAAAGATGCGGAGCTAAGTCGATCGGAAATCCTTAAGTTTGCGATAAATTTTCAATATAAATCCAAAAGTTCGATAGTGTTTGATTTTGCCAAAATTGTCTTTTTCTATTGTTACTTTGAGTTGGTGTGGCTGTGTTGCCGCTGCAATCACCATGTCCCCCTACCTTTATATATGTCAGAGAGAGCGCGCGAGAGAGATGAACAAGAAATTCACAGACGAAGATAAAGGAAAGCGGTGGAAAGATGAAGATAGCTCCACAAAGAATAGCGCAATTTTTCTAATTTTTCAAAGCCCTTTCTGAAGCATCTAAGAGTCTTAGGGTTTTGTGGGTTTTAGGTAGTAATATGTTTTCCTATTGTTTTCTAGTTGGAGGGAATGTAAATTCTTTTCCAAAAAAATTGGAGGGAAATATTTTTTTTTTGCAGGGAGGGAAAGTTAAAATGATAAAAAATTATTTCAATTAGTAATTTTTAGCGGCAATTTTTTTTATTGTCGGTAAAAGGAAATCTTTTACTGGCTAATGGTTATATGCCGCTAATATTTTAGCTTAAATAATTCATTAGCGGCAGTTGCCTTATTGCTGCTAAATAATTGCCGCCAAAGGCCTTTTTTGTACTAGTGCGAAAGGACAAGAGTAGAGGTTTCAATTTAGCATTGAGAGAACAAAATCGCACGACAGAGAAGAATTGAAGTGAAAACTTTTTTTTCTAACTCTGTAGCCTCTAGGGGATAAATACAGATGTCTCTTACTGATCCCTCAGACTCTACTAAGCTTGTCCGTGAATTGTGAGACCTATGTAACCTAGAGCTCTGATACCAACTTGTCTTGACCTGGATTTTCCACCTTCGGGAGTCGTGATGGCACCTACTCGTGAAACCTAAGCAAGCCAAGTATTATAAATTCATTACCCTTCTTATTAAGCATGTTCAATAATTCAAAGTAATAAGTGATTTAAGCAGTGAAATAAACAAAATAACCAGAAATGCGGAAGATGAAAACTTAATCATTAACCGAACATTTGCTACATAATCTGAAATACAATACTACCCAGAATTTGGTGTCACAAGTTACGGACTATCTAAGAATACTACAAATAAAGTCTAAATGAAAATACACAAATCTGTCTCTGAATAAGTAAAAACAGAAAGAGAAGTGATAGAAGGAGACGCCAAGGCCCGTGGACGTCTGCAGGACTACCTCGGGTCACCTGAATGGACTGAAGTCAACACCCTCACTGCGGTCCGAACGCTCCAGTATCGGAATCTACACACAGTGCAGAGAGTAGTATTAGTACAGCCGACCCCATGTGTTGGTAAGTGCCTAGCCTAACCTCGGCAAAGTAGAGACGAGGCTAGGACCAGAATACCAAATAAACCTGTGCATTTAAATCATATACAGCGGAAATAAAAGCAGATAATTACAGCTAAAGTTGGGCGGGGGAAACATGCTGCGGGAAGTAATAGGTAATAATAGAATAACAGTAGAGAAATGTAAAGAATGCCATAAATCAAATACCAGCAAAAGATAAGGAAATAAGAAACAAGTACACATGTAATACCGTTGCAGGCATGTAACCCGATCCCATTTCATATACTATTGTTGTAGGCGTGCAATCCGTTCCCATTTCATATAGTACCGTTGCAGGTGTGCAACCCACTACCATTCATATAATATTGTTGCAGGCGTGCAACCTGCTCCCATTTCATATAGTACCGTTGCAGGCGTGCAACCTGCTCCCATTTCATATAGTACTGTTGCAGGCGTGCAACCCGCTCCCTTTTCATTTAGTACAGTTGCAGGCGTGCAACCCGTTCCCTTTTCATTTATCAACACCAATCATAAAAGAATCTCGGAAAGGGAACAATAATGTAACAGCAACAACCTGGCAAGGGAACAATAATATAACAACAACATCCCGACAAGGGAACAATAATATGACAATAACGTCCCGGCAAGGGAACAATAATATCACAATAACATCCCGACAAGGGAACAATAATGACAACAACATCCCGGCAAGGGAACAATAATGATAATCCTCATATGAAGAACAATAAACTACAACGGAGTCACAACAATTACTATACAAGACTCACGGGCATGCTTGACACCGACGTATAGATACTCGTCACCATGCCTATACATCGTACTCAACAATTAGCACATGGAAAATAAGACACAACTCCTAATCCCTCAAACTAAGGTTAGACCAAACACTTACCTCAAACTCTCACGGCCAACTCAAGCCTCAAACACCGCTTTTCCTTTAGAATTTGCCTCCAAATTACTTGTATCTAGTCCAAATTAATTTAACAACATCAATAAATGCTAAATAATTCTATCCCAATGCTAAATTATAGGTTTTTATCATTTTCCTCAAAAAGTCAAAAATCGACCCCGGGCTCGCTTGGTCAAAACATGAGGTTCGGACCAAAACCCGATCACTCATTCACCCACGAGCCCGAATATGTAATTAATTTCGGAATCCGACCCCAAAACTAGGTCTAAATTCCAATTATTTAAAAAAGCTTAACTCTACCCAAATCCCCAATTTTCTACCCTTAAGAACATGATTTAGGCCTACAAATCTAATGGGTGTTAATGGAAATTTAAGAAAACAAGTCTAAGAACACATACCTATGATTTTGTGGTGAAATCCCTCTTCAAAAATCGCCCAAGTTTGAGTTTAACTAAAAAGGTTTCGAAGTTTTGAAGAAATCCCGTTTTGCTACTGTTTTAAAATAACTGGGCAGGGAACCTATGCGTTCGCACATGATTGGATGCGTTCGCATAGAATAAATGATGACCCCCAGAATTAACTCTATGCTATCACAGACCTACCTATGCAATCACATAGAACAAATGATGACCCCCAGAATTAACTCTATGCTATCGCAGATCTACCTATGCAATCGCATAGAACAAATGATGACCTCCAGAATTAACTCTATGCTATCGCGGACCTATTTATGCGATCGCATAGAACAAAAACCCGGACACTAGCAAATAGCAAAAACACCAGATTTTCTAAGTTTGAATCACCCCGACGCCTATTCGAAACTCACCCGAGCCCTCAGGGCTCTAAACCAAACATGCACACAAATCTAAAAACATTATACGGACTTGCTCGTACGTTCAAATCACCAAAATAACATCTTAAACAACGAATTTAGCATAGAAATCTAAGAAAAATTTCAAAATTTTCAAAGTATCAAATTTCACAACTATGGGTCCGAATCACATCAGTTTCTTACCAAATTTCACAGACGCATCTTAAATGTCATATTGAACCTGTACCGGGCTCCAGAACCAAAATACGGGCCCGATACCATAAATTTTAAATATAATCAAATTTCCAAAAACTCTTATATTTTCAGTAAAACAATTTCTTTCAAAAATTCATTTCTCGGGCTTGGGACCTCGGAATTCGATTCCGGAATACGCCCAAGTCCTATATTTTTCTACGGACCCTTCGGGACCCTCAAATTACAGGTCTGGGTCTGTTTACCCAAAATATTGACCGAAGTAAACTTTTTTAATTTTAAAGGCCAAATTAACATTTTTATCACATTTCCACATAAAAGCGTTCCGGATATGCGCCCGGACCGTGCGCGCAAATCGAGGTGAGGAAAAAGGAGGCTTCTTAGGCCTCGGAACATAGAACTTACTCGTAAATCAAGTGATGACCTTTTGGGTCATCACATGAGGTTTTCCTCTCCAATATAAAGGGGACACCAATTACTTTGTAAAGGGTGAGGTCATTCATTGCGATAGAACATTCTTATTCTTCTCTTGTTTAACGTGCTCTCCAATTACTCTTCAACTTTATTGCTTATTCATTTATTATTCTTCATTTATTACCCATTATTAACCGCAAAAGGCTATCTTCGAGGCCTTCAACATCATTGTTTCTTCATCAATTGTTCATTGTCAACTGCCCTAACTAGACCTCGGGGCCCCCTACCGTCTCAACAACATTGATTTGGTTCTTTATTTCTTCTTACTTAAGCTCAATATAACTTGTATAATCACTAATATTAAAATATATCACGTATCTTTAAAAACACAAAATATCTTTAAGTGTTAAGCTCATTATTTGAGATAAACAGTTTGGCGCCCACCGTGGGGCTAAAGATAATAGTGATTATTTTAGTGCTAGTTTTCTGATAACACACGTTATTCTTCACACTTTTTCTTGTCAAAGTTTCTTTATTTCAGGCTTAGTCATGTCTAGCACACAAAATGCACCTGCTCACGGCAGTGAAGGACTTGGAGAAAACAGCGACATAGGGCTCGGTGTACCACCCGTAAACCCCAGGGAAGTGCCAAACATGGAGCCAGTTGATATCAGCTCCCAAAATCCTTAAAACACGGACGCAGGCGCAGACCCCGTAATAAATGCACACAGGGAAACCTAGGCTGGAGGCCAAGAAGTATGAGGTTTGGAAGAAGGAAGAGTCAACCTCCAAGTGATATTCGAGATATTGCAAGCTCAGCAAGTCGCCATCGCTCAGCTTCAAAGTCAGAACAGAATTCCTAACATTGCCGAACCAGTAAACATGCACACGAGCCAGTACTAGAAAGACCTGATGAAAGCGGCTCGGGGACTGACCCCACTATTATGAAAATGCTCAAGGAACTGACTAAAAGGATCGAATAAGGAGAAAAGAAGATAGAAGACAACGACAAAAAGGTGGAAACTTACAACTCCCGGGTAGACCAGATACCGGGAGCACCTCCAGTTTTAAAGGGCCTAAATGCCAAAAACTTCATACAAAAACCTTTCCCCTCGAGTGCGGATTAGATGTACATTCCTAAGAAGTTTCGCATGCCCGATATACCGAAGTACAACGGAACAACGGATCCTAACGAACATATTACTTCGTACACTTATGGGATCAAAGGAAATGACTTGAATAATGCAGAAATCGAGTCAGTGTTATTGAAAAAGTTCGGAGAAACGCTATCAAAGGAGCTATGATCTTGTATCACAACTTAGATTCTAACTCTATTGATTCATTTGCTATGTTGGCGGACGCCTTCGTAAAAGCACACACCGGAGCCATAAAAGTGGCCACAAGAAAATCGGATGTATTCAAGATAAAACAAAGGGACGAAGAATGCTAAGGGAGTTCGTGTCCCGATTTTAGATGGAAAGGATGGAACTACCCCCGGTCTCCGATGACTTGGCAGTTCAGACCTTTATGCAATGTTTTAATGAAAGAATCTCGATAGCATCTCTACAGCTAAAGCATAACTTGATAGAATATTCGGCCGTGACATGGTTGGATGTGTACAATCGGTATCAAT